TTTGAATCAAAATCTTAGACCTAAGCCGCTCGATTCGCTCGCGGCTTCCGCGAATTACAGATCAGCAAAGATTTGAATCAAAATCTTCGAACTAAGCCGATCGCTTCGCTCGCGGCTTTCTTTATTATTTTAAATTTGCATATTTCCATCAAAGTTCATAAGGTAAAAAATTTCGTTTATTTTTACTAAGAAAAAAAAGGTTTTTGATAATAAATTTATTTTATTTCGAAAAAGTAGCAATAATCGTAAAAGGGTATTGATAGGCTTGCTAAAGTAACTAATTTTAGCTGTCAAATACTTTTGTATTTTGAAGTAAATTAGTATAAATTTGTTTTTACTTTTATTTCGAAAAAGTAGCAATAATCGTAAAAGGGTATTGATAGGCTTGCTAAAGTAACTAATTTTAGCTGTCAAATACTTTTGTATTTTGAAGTAAATTAGTATAAATTTGTTTTTACTTTTATTTCGAAAAAGTAACAATAATCGTAAAAGGGTATTGATAGGCTTGCTAAAGTAACTAATTTTAGCTGTCAAATACTTTTGTATTTTGAAGTAAATTAGTATAAATTTGATATTATTTTAACTCCCTTTGAAAACTCAATTTTCCATACAGAGGGAACGGAATAGCATCCAATATTCCCTGAGAATGGTTGCGCATTCTCAGTTCCCTCTATATTTCGAACGAAGCTCTCATCGGTCTTTTTTTTTAATACTAAACGTTTTTTTTCCCTGTCACTTTTAGCTAAAATTTGGGTTTGCCGTTGGAAATGGGTGATACATAGCTTAACTCATAAATCATTCAGGCAAAGGTTCTCTTAATTTTAAGAGAAACAGTATTCTTCCAAGTGTTGAACATCAATCATTTCCCAGAGAGTTCCAATCCCTTTTATAAAGTTCTTAAATCTAGACTAAGATCTAAGTATATCCCAATAAAATCGAGTTTAGCAGAATAATATAATTATTAAAAATGTAAAATGTTTATTTATTCTCTCCTATATGGATAGCATACTTTATTGTAGGCACTCTTATTTAAACAGACAAAATGAAGTGACCTACCCATTTTTTCAGAGAAAATTGTATATGATTTATCAGAGGCATATGTTCAGCGCAATAATACTATTTTATATTTGACTGTTCATCAAAGATTGAAACATTGCGATGTTATTTTGATACACATTTACAATGGAATAATTTTAAAAGTACTGATGCACAGAATACTTCGTACTTCAAGAATCAGACCATTATAGCGAGTTAAAAGGCCTTTGATGTTGGTAATTCTATATATTCCGCATGAGAATATCATTTTTCTCACAGTAAAAAATATAATAATTGTCACTTTTCTCGAATAACGAGAAATGGATCAACTTCAATTATTCAAGGTTCAAAAGAGAAAGAAGATATTTTAATGCTCAGAGAGTCATTCAAACAGTTAGGGAAACTAGAAGAAGAATGCACTCAAGAATTATCTAATTTTCAAAGAGAGAATTTCATAGCACATGAAGAGTTTCGAGCTATTGCTGCTTCTATTTTTGACTCAATAGAATCATTTAGTAACTCCATTAATCAGGAATTAGACAAATTACAGTTAAAAATCAATCAACTTGAAACAATCGCAATGCATGCATTTAACATTCATTCTAAACAAGTTATTTGCACTCCAGGAGCAAGCCATATTGCTTGTTCTGCAAAATACATTTATATCGCTCAAATTGATGGGTTATTTCAGCTTATGATCAAACAAATTACAGTCTTGTACATCAAACAGACCATAGATATTACGATTCCTATAGCCAATTCGGAAAAAATTACTTGTTTTGTATATACGCAACAATTACTTGTTGGCTTCTTTAATGGCATGGTATTAATGGTTTCAGATGACCTCAAAACATTTAAACAGCTCAATTACATTACTCATTCTATTTCAGCTATTCACCAATTCCAAGAAGTGGTTATTGTTGGGCCACGAACGGTTTAGTCGTTTTATGGAATGCAAATACGCTAGAAAGACTAATGATATACGCAGGACATAGACTTGCAATTGCTTCTATCATTGATGACGGGACTGATATTTATATTGCCGGGAGAACAGGAATTGTTACTAAACACAATAAACTATGTCAAAAAGAACTCGAAAAGCTACAAATAGGAAAGTTTTTATTACAATTACTTTCAATTAAGGAACAACATTTGCATCTATCACAGATTCTTTACTTGTATGGGATGGAAAGCATATAATTAAGACATTTAATGCTATTGATATCGGAACAAATCCAATTGCTTGCATGAAACCACCTGAATTATTATTACTTGGAAATCGTCAATCAACTGAACTCAAACTTATATTCTTAGAGTCCCTTTTGTTCCCTAAAACTGTAACAGTACTCGATAAGCCACCAATTGGAATGATTCACTTCGGATCTGTTTTTTATGTTCTTACAAAGGGAGGACATGTTTACGTGATTCAGCCAGGCCAATAAATAAATCTGTTTTTATATTTAACTCTAAATTCTAGTAATATAAGGTGAGTACTTTCCGAGACTCATTTTGACACATTTTTTCCCCTTTCAAAGTTTTTGACATTTTTGGTCAAAAAGTATTCAATTTTCCTATCATACGACTTTTTGTTTGTCAAATTAACACTTTTGTATACTTTTTTTACGGCCGCTTTAGCGCCCAAAAAGTATATAAAATTGGAATTATCTTGATTATGATTATTTTTGCTTCTAATGCCGAACAGCATTTGAATCAAAAATAATCATAGTATAGATAATTTAAATTTGTTTTTTATTTAACTCTAAATTCTTGTAAAACATAATGGATAACTTATATTCAATTTTCCTCTCAAACGACTTTTTTGTCAGTTACTTCTTGAATTTGTTTTTTATTTAACTCTAAATTCTAGTAAAACATATTGGATAACTCCTACTCAATTTTCTTCTCAAACATTCATTGATAATCAATAATACATCTGATTAGAAAAAATAAATTGAAAAATAATTGCACCGCCCGGGAATCGAACCCGGACCCCCACCTTGGCAAGGTGAAATTCTACCATTAGACCAGCGGTGCTATACATTAAAAGTGTTTGATTATGACTTTAGAAATGAATTTCCACAAAAAAGTTGATGTGTGATACAGAAATCCATTTCGTTTGAAATTCAAACAGCTAATGAATTTACACATCATTTAAACTATCAGATATACGATTTTAACCAACATTTGAATAAAACAATCAGAACTAATTGAATGAGAGCAAATTCTGTTCTCTTTACTCCTCTTCAATGCGGTCCAATGCTTTTGAAAAACCGCTTCATGAGATCTCCAACATGGGAGGGCCTTTGTGATGATAATGGTTTTCCAACAAAGAAGCTCCTTGATATGATGGTAAATCTTGCAAAAGGAGGAACAGGTTTGATCATTCCTGGATACATGTATCCAATTGCTCATGGCAAGGCAGCACCTCGTCAAGCAGGTATATTATCAAAACAACATGCCGAAGCTTGGAAATCAACAATCGAGAAAATTCATAGTTACGGAGCGAAAATCGTCTTCCAAATCGGTCATGGTGGAATTAGATGCAATCCAACTTTAATTGGCCGCGAACCAATTGGTTGCTCACCACTTTTACCAAATACCCACGAAATGACTGATCTTCAGATCGATGAAACAATTGAAGCATTTGCAAAAGCATCTAAATACCTCGAAAATGTTGGTGCCGATGGTGTCCAAATCCATGCTGCGCACGGATATCTTGTTTCTGCCTTCCTTTCTCCTCTTCTTAACAAGCGTAAAGACAAATGGGGCGGCATCATCGAAAATCGTACTCGCTTCTTAAACGAACTTACATGGGCCATCAGATCTCAAGCCAAAGATTCATTTGCACTTGGCATTAAGATTAATGGCTCCGATTGTATCGAAGGCGGTGTTACACCAGGCATGTGTGCCGAAAACCTTTCTCTTTCCCCCGCATTCGACTTTGTTGAAATTTCATGCGGCCTTGGACCAAAACATTGGACAACAAGGGCCAACATGAACATCGAAACAATCAGGAAGAACCACAAGAACCCAGAACAGCTTATCAAACAATACCACGAATTCTGTGATGGAGTTCCTTTCAAAAAAGGTTATAATTTGGAAGCTGCTCAGTTTGTTAAGTCATCTATCCCAGACCTTAACGTTGCTGCTGTCGGAGGATGGCAGACATTCGCTGCAATGGAAGATGCAGTCAAAAGCGGCAAAATTGATTTCATTTCACTCTCAAGACCATTCCTTAGGGAACCAAACTTGGTCAATAAGCTGTACGAAGGTGGTGAAATGAGCCGCGACCACTGCTCCCTTTGCAACGAAAATAGAGTTGATAGAATTCACTGCCAGAACTTTAAGAAGTAATATTCTTAAATATACATTCATTATACAATTCATATATAAACATTTCAAATTTTAAAACAATTTTATTGATTTTGAAATAGAAATTCCTAAAAGAAGTGCCTCCACTCTGAATATTGGAGTATTTGGCTTGATACTTAACAGGTAAACACTAATCTAGTAGGTGATAGTAAAAGCCTAACTAAGGCTTGTATTACCCTCACCTTCACCGGAATTAGATATGAAATTCACTGGTTAAAAGCAAAATACAGAAAACGCCAAAAGCACGAGCATTTAATAGTAGCTTGTATAACGAATTACACATTTAGAATCTATGATATACAAAGAATTTATTTTCCCATATTTTTTGGCCAAAAAACTCAAAATTGAGAGTGGAGGCACTTCTCTCCTAAAAATTACCTGAAATCCTGAAGATTTTTAGTCTCTTGGAATTTCAAGGAGTAGGTGACAAAAGTGCATACTCTTAAATTAACCTTAAATGTTGATTTTTCGATATTTTCAGTATTAACCTTATTGTAAATTTTTCCGGTGATAAATTTATCACACTGAGGTTATTTTTCCGGTGAGATTTTTAACCTTGATTTAATGAAATTAATATATATAAATTTTATTATTTTTAATTTCGAATGAGTATAATAAAATATTTTTTATGTGTTTTTGTTTTTGATGTGATTTGAATTTTGTTAACTCTTTTCAAAATCACTTCATTTTTATGATTTCGGTGGACTTAGAGGAGCTTATTGCTTTTGGTATTAAACAGGAAGTCAAGGGCGGTGTCCCATACAGAAGAAGAACGGGATCTCCAAAGCAATATGTCACTTATTCATGTTCGTATCCCCTATGCAAGGCAAAATTTAGGGTTGAAGAACAAAATGGAGTGTTTACTATAAGCAAAGTTAATGAAGAACATTGCCATCATATAGGAGTTGAAATGGGTTCACATTACGCGAGTAAATTTTATCAAAAATGGATCGAACTTTATATTAAAAACGGTTGGAAAGCAATTTCTTGCTCAAAAAGCATTTTTTATAAGTTCGGAATTGATACGAATAAAAAAGAAACGATGAAAATTTTCGCGCAGTCTACTGATGCTTTAAAGCACAAATTTTATCGCCTTGATGAGATTATTGCACAAGATTATCAAACGATCCTTACACTTCTTTGGAAGCATTTTTGAATAATTTACAGGAAGAGTGCCCAGATGATCTCGTTCATAATTACAATGGAGATTTTTCCGAGTTTACAATCATATATGCACCTTTTGCTGCAAAAGAATTGGTGCATAGCATTGATAACCATCTCCACGTCGATTCCACTCATTCTTTAATTAAAGGAAAGATCCAATTGTTTGCAGTAACAATGAAAACAAGTCAAAACACAATTTTCCCCTTTTGCTATTTTTTAGTGAACCCTCAGACATCTGAAAAAATTCAAGAATGTTTGGTGAAATTCTGTGAGTTTGCGCACCTGGATCCACAGCATTGGAGCGCTGACTGTGCGCTAAACATTGCTCGCGCAATTGAGGACGGATTTCCTCTTGCGCAGCTCAGTTGGTGCGCTGTGCATGTTTTACGCGCATGTGCAAAAGTTGGAAGCTATTTTGACAATCCACAGAATTTTGAGAACTTCTATTTAGCAATGGACTTTTTGACATTACGTGCAGATGCAACGAATGCAGAAAAGCTGGCTGAAGAGTCTGATGAAACATATGAGTTCTTGACAACAATGTTAGAAGAAGAAGAACCGCGCGCTTTGAAGTATTTCGATAAACAATGGAGAAGAACCAAAGAACATTGGATGATGTTATATCGTGGAGAAGGTGATTTATCTCATACCGAAATGGCTCACCAAAAAGGTGACATTTTTGGCGCCAATAATTTGATTTTTCTGATTCTTTCTATTTAGATATATTTATTTAATATTCATATTCCTTTATATTGCCTCATATTATTTCCCATTTTTAATCATATTATACAAATCTTTAATAATTTTTAATGTTTTGAGCTTCAAAATCTTGTTCTAACTATTTTCATTCATATATCCTAGAAAAAATTAAAAAGTTTTTTAGAAATAAAAATGTTTGTATGTAAAGTATTGAAAATATTCTAGATGAGAAGACATTCTCCAGAAGAGATTGATATTGATTGGCTTTGTGAAGCCATCACAAAATCAAATAATGGAGTTAAGTTAACTGATATTTGCGCGAAAGCTAAAATAAATCATGAAGGCAGAATTATATATAATCATACTATCTTAAAGTATTCCTAGAAATTTCCAAAATTAACCGAAATATAACTGTACAGAATTACTATTTTCGAGATAAAATTCATATGGAAATACTAATTCATAACGCTTTATGTTATATAAAATTTAATTATAAAAATTTCAAAATAAATCAAATTTAACACAATGAATATAACTGCAATTGAGGTTTTTGACGATTGATTCTTACGAGAAGTTTTCCAAACTTTGAGTTAATGTCAAGACATTAACTCAAAGTTTGGAAGTCTAATAAGGGGAATTGTAGGCTATGAGGTACTGATTATATATCAGTGCCTCATAACCTGCAATTCCCATTAGAAATCGGAGAACTTTGTCCGCATAACTTATGATGCGGACAAAGTTTCTCCCATTTCTACTTAGAATGAAAGGGCAAGAGGTATATAGGTACACTATATATCTCTTGCCCTTTCCTTCTTACCTAAAGACTTCCAATCTTATTTTTTCCCCCAATTTTCCCCTAAATTTAAATCTTATATAATATAAATAAAATGCATAATATCAATCACAAAAATTCATGTTTATTTTTTTAATTAAAATTGCCGCGCAATTTAAGGTTTTCTGTCACTTTTTTTGTTAGCCATTTCGGTACGAAACAGTGGAGAAGGTGATTCCACGAATAACATTGCGGAATCACACTTTCATCAATTAAAGCAAACATTTTTCTTGGGTAAGAAAAATGAGCGCATTGATGACATCGTCATAACTCTCATCACTGTTGTGATTCCAAATGCGATTATTAAGGTTCAAGTCGCTAATGTTTTGAATGAAGATAGAGCAGTAAGAATTCTTACAAGGGCAGGTAATCAGATTGTTGAGCAAAGAGCTTATCTTCTTGAGAACTAAGCATCTCATCATATATTTAAATCGATAAAAATATTAAATAATAGTTGAATAGTATAACAACGTGAAATTATGGCTGAATCTACAGAAAAAATGAACATATTTGACATTTTTGAAAATTCATACGTTAGATGGTGACAGACTCATAAACTATACTTTAGCTAAGATTGATATATGGTTTCAACAACACATGGTTAAAATTGTAAAAATATTTTAGATTTCAAAAAGATATATATGGTAATATAATGGAACAAAGTCAACAAATAGCATGTTAAATATGTTATAATTAACTTTTTATTAGATCCAATAGTAGATATCGAATGGTTTCCAGCTTTATGGTTAAATATTTTCTTTTCGAGCTTCTCTTTAACTGTTGTATTAAGGTTGTAAATTTTTGATGCTAGAAACTATGGAATCTTCTTTGCTGCTGCATTTTTCTTGAGAGTTCTTGCAATTTCGAATAGATCTGCGCATTGTATGAAATTGAGGCTTTAAAATATCTTGAAAACAGAATAGGACTGCTTTTCCAAAGGAATGCTTACTTGTAAATCAGAGAGTTTCAAAATTGAGAGCAAGATTATCATCATAACTTTCGATTTTGCTGCGAAAAAGGAAGACAAGTAATTAACAAATCATTTACTGTTGTTCATCAAAAGAGAAAACTTTGATAACAACTAATGATGATAAAATCAAGCTATCTTTTAATATTTTAAATTGATAAGACATTCAAAATATTTGAATGGTTTAAAATATTTTCTTTTAATTTCTATAAGATATTATCATGATTATATAATAAAATTTAAATTTTTATTCAAAAAGGCAATATTTCAAACTTTTAATTTCAAAAATCTTAATTCTGCAATAAGTGTATTTAATTGTAGCAAATTTAATGATCCTTCGTCATGCTTAGCAATTTGGAACTCATAAATCAATGATTTCTTCAAGTAAAATTCTGCATTATTTCAAAAGTCAATAATTCTCTAGTAACTTTTCTTCAAACCCTAACCATTATATTATATGTATAATGGAGAATAATTGCAAAGAAAGATAGCCGAATTTACTGGGTAGTTCTTGTGATGCGAAATAATTGCAAATTAACACATAGTTTTAACAGCATCAATCTCTTTTTGCTCTCATTTAAATGCATTCGCACACTTTAATTTGAAATATAAGAGTTTTGGAAATTATCAAATTTATCTGCTCAAATACTATAGATCTTCATAAGTGTTAATAGAATCACCAGCCTTACATATAGTGTTTAATATAATGATGCACATCATACTGGGATTTATTCCTTATTCATCTAGTTATTATAAGATTTACAACCCCATGAAAATTTAAAATTTTGTCAAAAATAGTGAATGTACCTTTTTTCTAACACAACTATCAATAAATTGTAATATCATTATACTATATATTAATATGATTTTTTATAGAAAAGCTTTATTTTTTTCTCAATTTTTAATTTCATTTCAGTCTCTAAACTTTCTTACTATGTAAAAACGTATTATTATAGTAATAAAATAAAATACATGTTTATTCGATCGCGTATTTCAAAAAAAATAAAATTACTTATATAAAAAGATTCTCTTTAGTCAACTTTCTTTTTGAATCTCTAATAAGTTTTTACTGTTGCTTCTATATATTAAGTATTGATTCTTGTAGTAAAGAAAATCCGGAACGTTTATTTATTAGAATACTCGAACTTTGACTTACATATTACTAATTGTAATTATTTTCAAGAGCTATTTCTATTACTCCTACTTGTTCGGCTTAAAATCTGCTATATTGTTAAGATAAACTAAGTCTAAATTTTGAACCATTTTTTGAAGTTTAAAGTGTAATACATATCGATTTTTTATCCGAATTTAAGAATTGCT